ATAAATAATATTTTACTTTAAATTATTATTCTTTTCATCATTCAAAATTAGAGTATTAGAATCGAGACTATTTATATTAACAATGTGTACATTTATTTTCAAAATTTAAGGATTAAATGTACGCAAATTTTAAGGATTGAATGTTCGACTTTACATAGCTTGCGAACCGAGTTATCATATATACTATACATCACTCATTTAAAATTAGTAATAATTAAAATCTATGGTGTGTTATTTAAAATTTTTAATTATAGTAAAAATTAGTAATAATTTTGTAAATTGTGTAATATATTTATTAAATTTATTTTATATATTTTATTTTAAAAAATTATATATAAAAAAATTTGTAGTATTAATAAGTGAACATAAGAGTATAAAAATTGTGAAAATATATATTCTCTTGCCATCGATAATTATGAACTTAAGGTTGGGCACGAATTTTAATAAAAATGGATAATTTATTTATTTTTTTCTTTTTATAATAAGAAGCACTATAGTAGTATTTTATTAAGGTCATCTCCAACTTATTACTTAAAAAATGCAACAGCTACCGTAAAAATGCATTTAATCTACAATAATTTTACTATAACCATAAATTTCAATTTTTACTCTAAAAAGTATATTGCCTGTATATTCTTCTTTTATATTATATTATACAATTTTTTATATTTATAAAATTACATCCAATTTTAACTTTTTATTACTTTATATATCTCTTTTTGGAAAAATAAAATTATATTCTGTATTACTCTCTAAAATATAAAATTATACATTACTTTTTTTTAAAAAAAAAAATTATATATCACTTTTAAAAAAATAAAATTATACCCTATATTTCAAAAAATTAAAATACACATTATTTACAATAAAATAAAATACAATTACATATCACTTATAAAATAGAAAAATTACACAACTAAAAAAAAAAAAAAAATTACAAAAACACCTAACTCCTGAAATGGAGTAGTCCACAGTGTTACTCCATCCCAACTCCGTCAAAATCAAGCCAACCCATGCACAAATACAGTGGGTCGTGGTTGGATATGGTCTAAATAATACCTTCTCCGTCCAATTTCTAATATACTAAAGTATATTTGCACAATTTTTTTAGGTGATTGTCTTTTTATTATAAATTGACAAATTTGTTCTTAATTGTATGGTAGAGATTAAAAATAATATAGAATGAATGGTAAAAATATAAAATTTGTGTTTAAAAAGAAAATAGGACATTAGTTTGTGAACGGAGGGAGTATATTTTTTTATAAGAAAAAGAAATGTGCATAAATTTAAATGATAAAAAGAATGTATTTTTTTGGTGATACTTATTATTTAATTTAATACTCCATTCGTTCCATTGAAATGTTAATATTTTTTATTTTTCGTCTGTTTCAAAACAAGGTTATCATTTCCTTATTTAGTAATTTTACTACCTACCTAACATAATAAATACCCTTTCAATTTATAATATATTACACAAATGTCATTACTTTTATATTACACCGTACTAATAGGATATTTTTGTATTTTTTTTAATATAATTCAATATAATACTAATATTCAAAAATTTATGTGCAAAAAACAAATACCACACTTCCAATGGGACATAAGGAATATGATTTTTTCTTATCAAACTTAACTATTTTGAATTAATTTTATTAATTGCATTGCTTATTATTCTTCTTCTACAATAATAAACTTTAACAAGGTACACGTGTTATGTGATCATATGTCTACAAAGTTGCAATTGATTTGACATATTGTCTTACTTGAAACGAAAGTATGACTTGTTGAGATATTTTAGATATTCAGTTTTAAATTTAGTAGATTTATATTTAAATTTGATCTTATTTATAGATTAGATTATTTAGATTTGAGTCTATCGAGCCTGTTTTGTATTGCATATATATAAGCTCCTTATTTTGATGATCAATAAGACAATCTCATTATTTTCCCCCAAAATTTCTAACATGGTATCAGAGCCTACTTTTCTCATGTCGTAGATATAACCAACCCGCGTTTCCCCAGGTACATTCAACCTGGGATGTACCCGGAGATCTCCCAATTTTGAAATTTTTTCTATAGTTGTTAGCCTTTTCTTTTTCTGATTTTGATTTTATCTTGAGTCCTGATTCTGTCTACGATATGTCATATGTTCGCTGCTTGTCTGTTGCCTGCGTGCGCGATCTATATGGTGTTGCGATCTATCTGTTTTCGGCTCCACCTCGTTTTCGGCTCCGGTGGAGTCATCTCATTTTCGGCTCTGGTGGAGTCATCTCATTTTAGGCTATGGTGGAGAGTTATCTCGAATTTGACTATAGTGGAGAGTTATCTTGTTTTTTGCTCCGATGGAATCATTGCACTTTCGGCTCCGGTGGAGTGCTGTCGTTTTCGGCTCCGATGGAGTCATCTCGTTTTTCGGCTCCGGTGGTGGAGTCATGTCGTTTTCGGCTCCGGTGGAGTCATCTCGTTTTCGCCTCTAGTGGAGTTATGTAGTTTTTTGTTCCGGTGGAGTCATGTGGTTTTCGGCTCAAGTGGAGTCATCTCGTTTTCGGCTCCGGTTGAGTCATCTCGTTTTCGACGGCTCCGGTAGAGTCATGTCGTTTTCGGCTCCAGTGGAGTCATTTCATTTTCGGCTCCGATGGAGTCATCTCGTTTTCGGCTCCGGTGGAGAGTCATCTCGTGTTCGGCTTTGGTAGAGTCATGTCGTTTTCGGTTCCGATGGAGTCATATTGTTTTCGGCTCCGGTGGAGTCATCTCGTTTTTTGCTCCGCTAGAGAGTCATCTTGTTTTCGACTCTGGTGAGAGTCATCTCGTTTTTTGCTCCTGTGGGTGGAGAGTCAACTGCTAGTTTTATTTATGTTTTCTTTTTGCGTTTATATTCAAATTTCTCATCAAACTCAAGTTGGTTTTTGTTATACCACTTGAGTTTGAGGGGAGATGTTGAGATATTTTAGATATTCAGTTTTAAATTTAGTAGATTTATATCTAGATTTGATCTTATTCATATATTAGATTATTTAGATTTGAGTCTATCGAGCCTGTTTTGTATTGCATATATATAGGCTCCTTATTTTGATGATCAATAAGACAATCTCATTATTTTCCCCCAAACTTTCTAACATGATGTAAAAACTCACTTTAAATTGAATATTGTTGAGAAATACATATGTAAAATCTAATAAAAAAATATTTTTATTTTTTTTTGGCAGGAATTTGCAAGGATTTTTTTTTTTTTAATGATTATTATTTGGTAATGTTATTATTTGCTTTCAAATACTTTTATTCTGTAAAAACTAATAATGTCTATGTTTGCGATATGTCTGTCACGTTTCTCTAGGGCCACATTTTCGACTACATTGAGAGTTTCGTTGTTTCTGACTCCAGTGAGAATTCCGTCATTTCCGGCTTTACCGAGAATCCCGTTATTTTCGACTTTAATTCAGTTGAAAGCATTGCTATTGATTATAACACGGTGACAATTGTGTTGTGTCATCTTCGATCTTTCGTTGCAAACTTAAGTTGCTTATGCGATACCACTTAAGTTTGAGGGAATATGTTAGAAATCTTTTAGTTATTTAATTTTAGATTATATTTGATTTCATCAATTAGATTACATTATTATGATTTTCAGTTTATAGAGTTTGTATGTCATGTATATTTATATGTCTCTACCTTTATTACGAAAAAATATAAATTTTGAGTTTCCGTAAAATTCTCTCACATGGTATTAGAGTCTAATTTTTTTGTGTAATAGATTTAACCTAAAATCACACGCTTCTACAGGTACATTCACCTAGAATGTATTCGAAGGTCTCCAATTTTGATATTTTTATTTATGATTTTATGGTGTCAACGGAAATATTTCGATTTTAAGATTAATCTGCAATTAATTGTCCGTCAATTTTATTTTTCAATTTTGCGTTCGAGTTCGATATAATCATTTTTCATGATTCAGTACAAAGCCATACTTCCGATTGCTTTGAGAATTCCGTTGTTTTCGACTCCGATGAAAGTCTCATTGTCTATAGAGTTTGTATATCATCTCTATTTACAAATCTCTATCTTTATTACGAAATAATGTAATTTTTGAGTTTCTGTAAAATTTTCTCACACTTGTTTTCGAATTTCTTTATTATTCATAAATCATATTCAATAATTATTTTCATTATAGTCCCTACTATAATTATCACTTTTTAAACTCAAATAAAAATATTTAAAATAAAATAATAAATTTGAAAATATACAAACATATAATTTAAATATTTATCACCGTTTTTATAAATCTAAACACAAGACAGACGCCCTACGTGAGACGGAGGGAGTATATGACACTGCAAATGATTGTATAATTAAAAATATTTAATTTAAATTTAAAAAAGAAAATATTTAAGTCATGTATTACACAATTTAAGCCCATAATAGTGACGGCCCAAATAATAACATTTCTACAGCCTAAAAACCTATTCATAGCCCAATCAAAGATATGGACCAAATAATCATTTAAATCAAATATTTATTACTACTCTTCATTAATAATTTTTCTACAAAAAAATATTTAATTTAAATATTTCTATTTTATTATAATTGTTAAAATTTTGGGGGAAAATAATGAGATTGTCTTATTGATCATCAAAATAAATAAAGAGCCTGTATATAGACAATACAAAATAGATTCGATAGACTCAAATATAAATAATCTAATATATCAATAAGATCAAATCTAAATATAAATCTACTAAATCTAAAACTGAATATCTAAAATATTTCAACAATAATAAAATTTAATTTTATATTTAATAAATCAAACCGAATAATAATTTAAATTATTTTCCGTTTTGAAAAAGCGAGGTCACAAATTAGAAAAAAAGGGAAAGAAAATTAATATTTACAAGATTACGTTCATATGGCCCTTCATTTGGTCTGTCTATATAAGGAGGAGCGTTACAGTTACCTGACTGTCACCATTCCAGAACACAACGGATTCCTGAGAAATAGAAAAAATGAAGGGTGAGGCAGTTGTGGTGACCGTCGTGGTGATGTTAGGATTTGCTCAGGCGGCGGTGTACAACGTTGGCGATGCAAAGGGCTGGGGCTTCAATGTTTTGGGATGGGAGCATGGCAAGAATTTTAGGGCTGGGGACACACTTGGTAATTTCAATTTCAGTTTTAATAATAATAATAATAAATTATATTTCCTCCGTCGGTCGCATTTACGTTTTTCAATTTTTCTAGACACAATTGGATAAAAAAAATGGTAAAATTAAATGTTTTTAAAAACAATCAAAAAATTATATAAAATTTAATATTTTATTCGTCCCATAAAAAACTATTAATTTGTTTTTAGCGGAATTTTAGAAATATTAGTATTATATTGGGATATAATATGAATAAAATAGAAATGACTAAAATAACCTTATTAGTATATGTGATATAAAGGTAATGACATTTGTGTAATATATTGTAAATTGTAAGGATATTTGTAATGTTAGGTAGATAGTACAATTACTAAAAAATGAAATGAATATTTTATTATGGGACGGATTAAAATAAAAAAATAGATATTAATAGATATTTTGTTATAGGACGAATGAAGTATTTTTTTCTAAATAAAACAAAAATTTAAAATTTTGAGATATCAATATAATAGATTGGTAAATAAAAAATTATTTTTTAAAATTTTAATAATATTTTACATGTAAGTTGACGACATTATTGTAATAATATATAAAATATAATTTTTAAAAAGAAAAATATGTGAAAAGTATAGTTACTTAATAGTATAAAATAAATAAATTGATTTCGAACTAATTAAAATAAAAAAATAAATATATTACTTTGAAAAGAGTAATATTTTTTTTATTTGAAGAAATTAAATTACTTAAAGTTTTGCAATTCAAATTGATTCAAAAAAAAAATGTAATACAATAATAATTATTTACATGCGTTTTTTGGGGGAAAATATTCATTTTATTTATTAAACTAATTTTTTCAAAAGAAAAATTATATTAAATACTTATATTTTAATAAAATATAATAATATAATTATTTTTAAATTTCAATGTTTTTTATTTGAATAGACCTTTATTTAATTTTAATTTTAATTTGCAGTGTTCAAATATGATACAACTCTCCACAGTGTGGTGAGAGTGGACAAAGCAAGCTTCGATGCTTGTAGCATTCCTCCAAACGCGCCGAAATACGCAACTGGAAATGACCAAATTGTCCTCCCAAAGGGTCCAAATTACTTCTTGTGTGGGACACCTGGCCACTGCACAGCTGGCGTCAGAATTACAGCATTTGCTGCTTAATTAAATTACTACTGGAGTATTAAACAATACAATTATCTACTTACTTAATTTATATTTATTTAAATTTATAAATGACAGTGCCAAATTTTTTTAATATTTTTTTATATTATAAAAGTTTAAAAATAATACTTTCATCCGTCTCATTTTCATTTTTGTTTATCCATTACAATTGACACATTTTTATTTTGGTAAAAAATTATTAAACTAAAATATATTTAATAAATATAAATTAATTTAATTAACTACATAACTTACAATATTATAAATGACGTAGGATCCACGGAAAACTCATTTATTTCTATCTCTCTCCTCAAAAAAATAAATATTTTTATCTATATTTAAAATTAAACATCTTTATGGTAATTATAAATAAACAAAAATATTTTTTTATTTACTTGTATTATAAAATATTTTATTGTCGACAAAATGATATTCATATTGCATATATTTTTAAATTTCTATATAATTTTTAAATATTTAAATATATATTTTAATTTTTTAATCATATATATTAAATTTACTTTAAAACTATAAATATTATTAATTATACAACAAATAATATAATAATATCATAACTAATTATTATTAAATAATTAAATATCCTTACCTTAAATACCGTATTCTTAGTCAAATGGTTCAATTCCGATGGGACGGAGGGAATATAAAATGTGTTTGGGGTTCAGATTCTGGAGTTCAATTTAACCTGTGAAAATTTTGAATTATAATAATTATATAGTATGATATAAATAAACATTAATATTAGACTGCATAAAAAATTAATTTTTAATATAACAATAAAATTGAAAAATAAATATTTAGTTTAATCTTTTTGAAAAAAAAATTAAAAAATAATAAAAATTTATCAAAATCTTTCAAACAAACATACCCAAAATATATTATTTAATCACTATGAGTACAACTAAACACCATTTACAATATCTCGGACCATATATAAAAAGTGTTTCCTAAAATAGTTTGAAAAAATATTTTTTTCAAAATGTAAGATATAACAAATAGTATAAATAATATAAAAATAATAAAATATATGTAATATATTTATTTATTTATTTTTTTTGAAAAAATGAATGGTAAAAAAAACAATGTTTACTAACAATTCATACTATTCACAATATGTACTCACGAATAGAAAAAAAATATATGTTTTTTTTTACTAAGTCAATATATATTTTTTACTATTTTTGTCTATTTATTAAAATATTTATTTTTTATTATAGTAAAATTAATTAATAATATTTATTTAAAATATCATATTCAAATACTTTTTATATTTAAAATTTTACTAATTTATAAAACATTGTAAAGCATTTAAGTCATCCTAAAATACGTGCTGTTATTGGGCCAAATAATTGGGCCTTTATAATTAATAGTCCAAAAAATGTGGACAATCGATTGTCAACGCAAGCCCACGGCTACATTGCGCACAATTTAATAGTTTAATTAATTTAAACTAAAAAGAAATCAAAGTTCATAATAATAATAACATAACACTATCATGATATCCTATAAAAGTATTTTATTTTTATTCTCACAAAATATTATATTTGAATTATTAGGATTTAAAATAGTAAAAATTAATTGTTGATATAATATTTTACTAATTGAAAAATACATTTAATATGATATATATTTTTTAATATTATTGGTGTAAACAAATAAAAAATAAAAAATATATTTAAACGAAATCTAATTGAATGAATAAAGATCATTTCAAATACTTTTAATCCCAAAATTTGAAACTAAATAAAAAAATTTATTAATAAAATACTTAACCTGGGCTTGGCCCGAACCCGGCCCGAACTATGCATACGTTCATGTGCATGTACAACATCTGTCCACGCTACATTTAAGTATAAATTAAAATTAAAATTATTAAGGTGACATTTACTGCAACAGTTAACGGTCAAACAACCGGAAAGGCGTGCAGTTAATACTTTTTCCGTCACATATAATTTGTTCATATATTTTATTTTCGTTAGTCTCATATAATTTGTGCTTTTTATTTTTGGAAATATAATTATGCACTTTAATTGTATTTTAAATTTTAAATTTTTCTTAATTTTAATTAAACTATTTATTTATCTTAATCTTAATCTATAATTATTTTTACTAAATAATAATTACTTTTAGTAATATATTTCTTAATTAATTACTAATTATATTTTACATAAATTTCTGTATCTATATTAATACACTCATATTACATGGGACTAAGTAATATATTATTCGTATGAATTTACTATCCTACCCTCGTAGAATAAGAAATTAAAAAAAAAATTACATTGTGGGTAAGTCACGTGACCGGCGGATACAAAACGTTTCTATTTTGCATTTAATGGAATGACGGTCACGTGAGGAAATGACACTGAAGTGTCGGGCGCCTCCTTTCTGGGTGAGGATCAGATAGGTGAAGGTACAGCAGAGTCTACCTGTTTCCACCACGTGGAAATTTTATAGCCGTTGGATTGATTTACAATCTGCGGACTAGGAGCACGTGACGTTTGTGTGGACAATTAATTTTAATTGGATTTAACTAACATAAATTCCATACGGCGTCGTATTTTGGTAACGTGTCCTTAAATAAAAAATCTGTTTAAATTAACTTAAAAAAATAAATAAAAATTTAAAAACAAAAGCAGAATTAGAAGTTACAATCAAATTTTCTTGTACTGTAAAATTTATTTTAAAATATTAAAACATATAGTATATTTAAATTTTATAAGTATTTTCTAAATTTGATATTTTGATTGTATTTCTCTAAAATTTTTATTTAAATATAACATATCAATTGAAAATTAAAATATAATGATATTTAAATTTATATTTATGTATAGTATGTAAATTAATTATTTTTATGTTATGCATGTCGTGTTATTATTATTACTATTATGAATGAATTAATAACATATACTCACTCCGTCCCAATACAATAGTATTGTTTATCATTTTTGTCTGTCCTAAAACAATAGTCTTATTTTCATAAATAACCATATTACCCTAAAACTACCTTTATTTTTTATTATACAATTGCCACTACTTTTTACACTAATACACCCACAAGGGCAAAAAAAATTTTTATCTATACTTTTTACCAACTATCAATATAATATCAATATTTATTAAATTTCGTGTCCAACCCAATTAAGACTATAGTTCTGGGACGGAGGGAGAATCTTAGAGTTGTTTCTATTTTTTCAGAAAAATCTCTAAAGTATTTTAAAAAATACACTTTTGGAATACATGAATTTTTTTTTTTTTTTTAAAAAAAAAAATCAATGTAAATATAAATAAATATTTTTTAGAAGTAAAATAAAAAATAATTTTTAGAAGCTCATCCAAATAGTGCCTAATTGAGCCAAGAAATTTACGGGATATTTTATTTTTATTTTAAGGTTTGATGATTTTTGAATTTTCAGTTTTATTTAAATTTAATTGAAGTAATGAATTAAATCGATAAAATAAATAATAATAAATGTTTACAATTTGGGGTTTTCGAATTTTCAGTTTTATTTAATTTTAATTGGAGTAATGAATTAAATAGATAAAAAAAAATAAACGTTTATAATTTGGGGTTTGTTTGGTCGTGATTTGAAGTTTAAATCATTACTATTCACTTAATACGAATTTTCAATAAAATTATATTATCTTTTTTTTTTATAAAATATCACATCAAAATAATATTTAAATATAAAAAATTTAAATCACATTTTATTTTAAATTAATTTTAAACTATAATTAATTTTCAAAAAATTATTTATTAATACATTTATGAATAGAGAGCTTAAATAGGAAATGTTTCAAAAATGGGAAACCCTTTACGTACATTCTTAAATAATTTTTTCACAATTATTCTAATACTATATATAATTTAAATATCCCATTAAATAAATAATTTCCTTTTACAAAGTATTAAGTAGATATTATTATTAAAAAAATTTATAAACTCCAAACATAATTACCAATAATATGTTTGCATTTATTTAGATACAATAATTTAAGTAAACTGTAATTAGTAAGTAATTAAAAATATATTAATAAAAATAATTATAAATTCAGATTAAAATAACCAAATAATTTAATTAAAATAAAAAATATAAATTATGAAATTGAAAATGTAATTAAAAATATAATTATATATGTAGAATGAATCGAAATAAAAAAATATAAACAATATTTACAAAGCACAAAATATGATACTACCTTCGTCCAGACAAAGATGAAGCATTTTGTTTGAGTACGAGAAATTAGATAGTGTAAATTAGTTATTTAGTTAATCATTTATTTAATGATTAAAAAAAAACTTAAAATATGTGTTTAAATATTTTTAATATTATATTTCAATAAAATATATAATATAAATATCATTTTATAGAGAATAACATTTTATATAATACAAATAAATAAAAATATATTTATTTATTATTACTATAAATTAATTTTATAAATAAATGAGATTTTTAAAGGTAAATAATAATATTTGTAAATTGAAGAGAAATATATAAATAAATAGTTTTGAATAGATCTTATATGTAAGAGCCTGAAATGTTATAAATTTAATTAAATTGATTTATACTTGTTAAATGAGTTTAAAATTGATAAATTTAATATAAATAAAAATAAAAATAAATCATTTGTAACATGACGAATCAAGTATAACTTACATTATATCATAACAATCTGATTATAACAATCTTTTGTAATACTGTATTTAATAGTAATTTAATTTAATATTTTATAAAATTAAATATTTTCTCTGTCTCAATATAATAGTCTTGTTTACCATTTTTGTCTGTTCTAAAACAATAGTCTTATTTTCATAAATAATCATATCACCATAAAACTACTCATACTTTTTTATTTTTATTACACAATTACCACTACTTTTTACACTAATATACTCACGAGGGCAAAAAAGTATTTTACTTATACTTTTTACCAACTATCAATATAATATAAATATTCTTGAAATACGGTGTTCGATTCAATTACGACTATAGTTTTAAGAAAGAGAGATTAATATATATTGATTAAGAAAGATAATAGTTGCGGATTTCCATATATATATATATATATATATGCAGAAAATTGGGTATTTTTATGATTGTATTTTATTCATTTGTCCCATAAAATTATAAATTACAAATGAAATAAATATAAATTTGATAGACGTATGAAATATATAATATAATAATATATGTATATATCAATAATAAGAATTTATTTTTCAGTCTATTTTATTATAAGTCTATTTTATTTTAACTCGAATGTAATATCATATTTTCTCAATTGTTTTTAATGGAATTCGACACACAATATATTTAAGGCTTGTTTATTTTGGGTTTTTTCATTAGTAATATAAAAAATAATGTTTTGTATTAAATTATTAGAATTTGTTTTTTTTAATAAATTTGTTTTCCGACATGATTCTCAATATATTATAATTATCCGTTCATTGAAAGGTTGTCATTTTTCATTTACGTCCATCTCAAAATAAAGTTATCATTTCATAATTTAGTAATTGTACTACATATCTAATATAATAAATACCCTTCTAACTTACAATATATTACACAAATGTCATTATTTTTATATTATACAATACTAAAAATTCAATATAATACTAATATTAAAAAATTTACGTACAAAAAATAAACGATAACTTTTCAATAAGATAAAGAGAGTGCATATTTTTTTTATCATTTCACAAAAATTAATATTTAATATACAATGTTGTTTGTATATTATCTACATAAATTTTTATATCTCAAATAAAAAAATACTCAAACCATTTGCGTTTGTTTGAAGGTTTGGATTTTTGGTTGAAATTTAAATAGTAAAAAATTTAAATTAAAATAATTGTATAATGCGATATAAATAACTATTGAAAATATTACATTAAAAATAAAATAAAATAAAATTGGGAGAACAAACCCCACTTATGTATAATCGAATTGAATTGATTGAAATTTGGTATACAAAGAACAGTTTCATGTGTTTGTTTAAGATAATGTTTGTTTAATGGTTGGACAATGTATAATATATATATATATATATATATATATTCTTGATTAAAAAATTTAAAATATTAAAGCAACTATTAGTATATTTGAATAGACTATGTTCAAAATGTATGTCATCTTATAAAAATAGAATTATACTCCTTCCGTCTCGTATCCATATATTCATTTACTTTTTGTACGGAGTTTTAGAAATATTACTATTATATTGAGATAAAGTAAAAATAAAGGTAAAAAAACTAAATTAACCCTATTAGTATTATATGATATAAAAGTAATGACATTTGTGTAATATATTGTAAATTGGAAGAGTATTTGTAATGTTAGGTAGATAATACAATTACTAAAAAAAAAGAAATGGATACTTTGTTATGGGACGGACCAAAATGAAAAATAGATAGATTGTTAAGGGACGGACCAAAATGAAAAATAGATAGATTGTTAAGGGACGGAGAAAGTATATAATGCAAATAAATAAGGTGTATATATTTATAAATTATTAATATGAATGTATTTTAAAAAAAAAAATAGAAAATTTTAAATATATATATGTTTGTTTATTAATTATAAAAAAATAAAAAAATATTATAAATGATCTCCATTTTGAAAAATAAAATATCAAGAAACATATTTGATTGGATTGCATTTGGGTTTGAGGATTTATGGTTATTAAAAAGTTGATTTAATGTTCTATTAAATAAAATAATTATAGAAAATGTGCATACATTATTATACATAGATTTATTTATTTATTTATAGTAAATGTATATAGCATATATATTTTTATTAAACATTATATAAAATTTTATATAGGCAAAAAAAAAAAAAAAAAAAAAAAAACATAAAAACATATGCATTGTATGAATGAGATTACAAAAATACTATTTTTAAAACATGTGCATAAACATTTAATATAATACTCCATCCGTTCCATAACAAAGTATCCATTTTTCTATTTTAGTGTGTCCCATAACAAATATTCATTTCTTTTTTTAGTAATTGTACTATCTACCTAACATTACAAATACCCTTACAATTTACAATATATTACACAAGTAACATTACATTTATATCACACATACTAATAAGGTTATTTTAGTTATTTCTACTTTATTCTTACTACATCCTAATATAATACTAATATTTCTAAAATTACGTGCAAAAAACAAATGAATATTTAGTTATGGGACGGATAGAGTATTTCTTTATTTGGGAAATATAGACATAATATTATTAGTATAATATTATTATATTTTTTGTGGTTTGAAATTATTTTAAAATAAAATATTAATATGAATTATTATTTATATAGTATTTTGATGCAATATTGCGTGAGATAAATTAATATATTTTTATTAAAAATTATATATTGTGAATAGTATCAATTTGAATTTGAAATGATAAAAAAAATAAAAATTGTACTAAATATAAAAATAATTATTCTTTAATCAATATATAAAAATTAAGTATATCTATAGATAACAAATAGATAGGGTATTATAACATGTCTTTTAATTGAACAATAAATATAAAATCAGTATTTATATATATATATATATATATTTATTTATAGGAAATTTTATTTTTAATTCTATAATTAGAGTCAGTATAAAAATCGTTCTGTAAATAAATTTTTTTTGACACAACTGATCTTTCGGCGGTGAAAAATTAATTGTGCAAAAAAGAATGAGATACAAAGTCATTCCTATACATGTTTTAGTCACGTAATTAAAATAATAAAATAGATCGATTACGAAGCTAAAAAAAGTAATTTTCCCTTTATTTATTATTCTCATATTCATTCATGATTAACTATATGGTTGTATAAAATTTAATAACACATTTCACATATGATCAAATATAGATCTCATATTTATTATGTATATGATTGTTCGAGGGATTGGATTGGATTTACACTATTCATCTAATTTTTTTTCTCCAAAAATATCAAATCAAACACCTATTTTTTATTTTTTATATTATACTAAAAATCAATTTTACATTCAAAATATCACATCAACACTTATTTATATCACATCATACAACTATTCAAATTCAAAATTTTTACTGTTGAAATCTCAACTCAAAATCTAAAACCCAAAACAAACATACCCTAAGTATTACTTAAGCAACTAGAAAATATACACCTTATAATTAAATATATTGTTGAATTATTATTATTTTTTATTTAACTTTTATAATACATGTGTATCTCTATAAAATCATAGGATCGTATACACATATCTTTAGAACAACTTTTATGCTATCTTTAATAAATAAAGAAAATTCTATATTATTGATAATATGTATAAGATAGTCTTTACTCCCGAAGATTATTGAATATATATATATATATAACATGGTTTAAATTAACAATAAATATAAAATTAATATAACACTGATATAACTATTTCATCAAAACATGATCAGCTAGCATCGAATTTATTTTGAAAAAATATAAATATAGTAGTATAAGATTTCAGATGACATTATTATTATTATTTCGAGCTAACTAATCAATTTATATTACATACATATTACACTTAACCGATAATATTTGTGTGTATGAATTTATGACTTGGTAAAAATCCGTTACAAGTTATGTAGGCGTAAGAAAATTAAATTTGAGAATCTTTTCGTTTTTCTATAATGCTGACTGTTTATATAACGTATAATACGTATATCGACCGACACATGTCAGAATGACGTGACAGGTAAACGAAAAATTGATAGCCTGAAATGTATTGTTATCATATTTTGGATTGTATTTGACAAATGGACAACAAACATCGAGAAAATGCAAGCTGTATGATACGCGAAAGTTGTTGAAAATATAATTGACCGTTGGCGTTTTATGCATGTATTTATTTTTAACCGTAAAGTTGTTGCATTAACTTTTCGAAATATTAAATCAAATTAATTTCAGTATATTATATAAAAATATATCTTTTTATATTCGTTATACGTATTCTTTAGGTAAGTATTTTTTTTTTCAATTAAATTTTAGTTATATGTGTATTGTAGATTGATTCAAATCGATTTTTATTTGTTAAAACACACTTATTTAGGTTTGAATTATTCAATACTATTTAAATTGCAATTAAGAAAAAAAGTTTGTAATTACATTTATTAATAAAAAATACTATTTATTTAAAAAATTTAGATTTGAATTTAAAAATACAAATAAACTCAAAACGAAAAATATAGAATCTGATAGCTAAAATAGAAAAAAGAAAATCCAATAAGGAAAAATAATAAAATTACAAAAATTTCACATATATACCAAATATATATTTTGTAAATACAGCAAGGAAATATTTATATCACATATATACAAAATAAAATTTTTATTTATTATTATTTATAAAAATAAAAAAAATTAAATAGCTGTCCTCGACTACAAAAAGTCAGAAACGTCTAGCCGCCCCGTCGCAGCGAGAAAAATTAATCCGAACAAAAACCGCGCGTGGCTACAGAGTCATGACGTGGGCGGATTTGATTGGGCAGTGCAGAACACGCGCCGTAGGATAGCGTGGGGAAACCGAAATGCATGCCGCGTTGAACTGCCATGTATGGATGTATGTCATGCCAGGTCAGCATGTGGCATACGGTGTGTAATACAGTACCCGCCTTCCGAAAATACGCATACGCCTAAATCTATACGTATACAGTATTCATTAATATATATACCTTTAGAAATCCTTTTGACCGCACAGAGAAAAAAAAAAAGGTGAATCCCAAAAGCCCCCCCGCGCCGGGAAGGAGGAGAGAGAGAACTGAGGGAGGAGGAGCGGCGGAGGAAAAAACGAGGAGTCGAGTGAAGGTATGAAGCATTTCTTCGTTGTTTTGATTTTGTTTTAATTTTGGATTTGATTTTTTTGATTTTGTTGTTGTTGTTGATACGTACGTTTTTGGATGAGTGATTTGATGGCGGATTGAATGAGTGAGTGAACGAGTGAATGAATGTGGTAGATTTTTATTTTTATTTTTAATTTATTTTTGAGTTTGATTTTGTGTTAGTGTAGTCTACTATTTTTGGTAGTGTGTAGTGTGAAAGATACTTGGTTGAGGATTTGGTGATGGTAGAAACAGTCTATTGAACATTTCGTTTCTGCGAAGATTTCTATATGGCCGTAATCGTCGTGATTTTGTGAACTGGTGACCATTGCTTTTGCAATACCATTTCTACCGTGTTGGTGCTGATTTTTGATGTGGTTTATGATTTCTAGACTATAAATAGGTGAATCCGATCGGACTTCTGAGATGATTCATTTTTATTTTTTATTTTTCGGTGCTGTTGTTTCTTCTTCAGTGGCGGAAACAGAGGATTGCTGCGATAGGGTGTTTGGTTTGGAGCGAGAGCTTTTATGTCGAAAAGCTTTGAATTGGCTGTTGTGTTTGGGGCTCCATCGTCGAAGCTCTGTTTCTCGTCTGTTTCATTATCATCGGCTCATTGTTTGCGAAAATCTCTCTGCTGTACCGTTCAGCAGAGCAGTCTCCCTTTCTTCCCAACCGTTTCGATGCGTTTGAGGCCCAAAAGGTACAATTAAATCAATTCGTTAAACCCTAGGGGGTTTTCTGTTTCGATTTTGAGTAATTTTGTGTGTTTCCTGCTTTCTTCTGTATCGATATCATGGAGTTTTGTCGTGCATTTGGGGAAATGTGAAGCTGGTTATTACTGGATTTGTTTGATTAATGGTGAAATTGTTCTTGTTGTAGGACTTGCTCTGGAGTCGTGTGTTTTGGGGTATATCATATAAATCGGTTATTCGATCTGTTCTTGTTCCTGAGAAGTCCTCAAATCGTTGGTTAAACGCCATTTTTTAATCTACATTGAACAACATATCTGCCTTCTGTGTTGATTCGATCTGATTACTTCATTCTTTTGGAGGAACGTTTTTGCCTGGATATTCTTTAAGGGATTCTTTTGGAGACAGCGGAAATGACAATTATACCGGAGTCTTGGAAGCCAGTTTTGTCGAACAACAAAGAGTTGAGAATGCCGAGGATTCCACCGGAACTGCCCAAAAGGGCCATGAGAAGAGTCCGGATCATCTGCAATGATCCGTATGCTACTGATTCATCCGACGACGAAGAAATGGCGACCAAAAAGAAGGTTAAGCGCGTCGTTCACGAGGTGTGTTTTCCGATTAGGGACGGCGGTGATTTGCAGAACTCCGATCAGTTCGCCATTGCCGGAGGAAAAGGTTCGAAGAAGAAAAGAATGATCCCATTTGCTGAAACCAAGGACAATTCGCCGAAAGGGAAATACAGAGGCGTCCGTCAACGGAAATGGGGGAAATGGGCGGCGGAAATACGCGACCCGATTCAGCACAAACGCATTTGGTTGGGAACTTACAACAGTGCTGAGGAGGCGTCGAGAGCGTACGAATTAAAACGATTGGAATTCGAGGCTTTGGCTAGTAACAGCAACAGCACCGGATCTTCGTCTGATAAGATCTCATGCAACGCTAAACCCATCTCCGTATCCGACGAATCGAGCGCAAGTGCTGTATCCCGAGTCTCCCTTACGTCTCCGCTGTCGATTCCCGAGCTGGATTCACTTGTTAATGCCAAGTCTGATGCGTCGGCGGAGCTTACGCTTACGCTTCCAAATGTCGAGTCCGGGTCGAATGATTTGGGTCTAATTGATGAGGAACTCATGGCTCTCGCAAGAATCGGAGACGATTTAGATTTGGATATGGAGTTCGATCCCATTTTGTTCGAGAATTCGTTCCCGTCAATCGACAGCTTCGCCAACGATTTCTCCGATCTCCCGATCTTGGGGCTGAACGACGATTACGAATCCTGCGATCTCGAGGATTTCGATTTGGAATTCAATATCGACGAGTGCAATGAAGCCTTGAATTGGATCGACGATGCGCCCTCCGCGCCTACTCTGATGAACGGAGCCCAGCCCAAACCCCTCGACATATCGTGCCCGTAAGAAAAAAAGTTTTGCAGCATCTTCGTCGTCGTCGGGAGAGTTCTTTATTAGGTTCAACCTTATCGTCTATAAGTTATTGCAAGGAGAGGAATGTGTCGTCTTCTACAATGGTAACTTTTCTGACTTAATACTTTCTAATGTGCAAGTTTTTATATACTGTGGGGATCTTCTTGCTTTGGTTATCTGTCTCTAACATGAAGTTTTGGACTTGGTTTTTTATTTTTATTTTTTATTTTTATTTTTATATTTATTTATTTAAATGTCGTTGTAGTGTTGGATTTAGTTTTCAATCGTATTGATTATATATATGATTGCAAATATTGAATCTTTTTGATGTGTAGTTGGGGGATGAAAGGTACATGTTCCTAATTGGTACGAATACATTACATGGCCTTCTCTCTTTTATATCATATGCTGCAACTTGGAGAAAATTAGGCTTCAGAATTTGTGGGGTACGGTAGATTCTGATGATGATGACTTTAAAAAATTAAATTAAATTTAGGTGCTCAATAATGGTTTCCGCTTGCCTAAAAATGTGACAAATTTTTTGATATAAGATTTAAAAAAATATATATTTTTTTATTATTTTTACTTTTTATAGTAAAAAAATTAGTATTCCTTTTGTTTTTAAAAGTTTGTTTCTTTTTTAAAAAAATTAATATACTATATACGTTCATTATTTTTATATTATTTACATAATTTTTTATATTTCATATTAAAAAAATTTCTATCAACCAAAACACAAAACAAATACACTCATGTTTAAATCATATTTTAAAATTTTAAATTTATTTTAATTAAAATAATTAATTATTATAATTTTAATATATATACTAAAATTATTTTTATTAATGTAATATTTTTTAGTTATGTTACTCTTAAAATTCTATAAAATATAAAATGTAGGACATATGTAGGAAGTATTGTATTTTATTAAAAAATAAAACAAGAATATTATAAAATGATAAAAAAAAAGTGAACGTATATTATTTAAATTTTGCATTTTTCAAGAAAAAAAAATACAATTTTTTTCTCTTAATATTCCATCAAATATTACTTATATATAAAACCTAAACTAAAAACTAAAATTTCCCAAATCAAATCCAAAGAAGTACACCCTATGTACTTTTTTTTGCTTAATGTAGAATTTAAATAGTAAAAATTGGAAAAAATTTTATGCAAAGAATATTTGGATTTTATTTTCTTTTATTTTACTTTATTGTGTTTAAATAGAGGTGGTCATGTCATGAATTTGGGTAGTTGGTTGGAATGTTTTTACATTCTTTAATGTGTCTGCCTACTGTGTACAAGTTTTGATTTTAGATTTTAATTTTATTTTTAAATAGTAAAATTTCAAATTGAAATAATTATTTGATGTAATATAAATATGGATTGATGTGATATTTTGAATGTAAAATGAAATTTTTGAGTAATATAATAAAAAAATAATATGTGTGATTTAATATTTTTGAGAAAAAAAAATAAAATAGTAAAATCAGCTAAAAATCTGACTAGTAAACAGAACTAGTGATTTTCTTACAGCTTTTGACATCAAATAATTTGTCACACTTATTCACCATAAAAATATTGTCAAATATAATATTAATAAAAATATGTGTAAATAATTCTTTGTTTAAATTGAAATTAGCTAACAAATATACCTAAACCCTAAATTCAGCTGTGAATATTCATGAAACGATGAATATTCAGCTATGAGAAAATAAATTTAATGTTTATCACTCAACTGTGAGTTTTACAAAAATAAATAAATAAATAAAAATTGGATGGTAGTGAAGTAGAGGAGCTCTTCTTACAAACCTTAACAATGTCGAGTTGACATTTATATGGTCAATATGGTTGACTAAATGTAGTAATCAGTCTAATAATATAAGTTCAAAGGTAGCCTTCTTCTAAGGGTGTGTTTATCTGGGGGTTAGGATTTTAGATTGGGATTTCAACCGTAAAAATTTTGAATTTGAATATTTGTATGACCTGATATAAATAAGTGTTGATGTGATGTTTGGAAAATTGATTTTTAGTATAATATAAAAAATGAAAAATAGGTGTTTGATTTGATATTTTTGAGAAAAAAATTGGATGAATAGTTAAATTTAAATCCAATTCTCTAAACAAACACACCCTAGTAAAAAGCAAAAAAACACATTTTTCAAAAATAATATCAAACATATATATATTCATCAAATAAAAGTCAATAAATCATTAATTCTACGTATATAATAAAAGTCAATAAAAGTTTATTTTCAAAGTTAACAATTCCCTCCGTCTTAGATAGGATGGACTTGTTACTGTAGATACAAGAATTTAAAAAGAGTATCAGTAAGGATAACAATTATTTAGTAAAAATAATTATAGATTAAGATAACTAAATAATTTAATTAACGTTATAAAATTTTAAAATTTAAAATATAATTAAAGTGTATAATCAATTTATAAAAGAAAAAGAACAAATTATATGGACTGATGAAAATAAAAAATAGAGACAAATTATGTGGGATGAAAATAGTATTTTTTTTTTTTTTTTTGTAAATGTATTTTTATTTTTTCATTCACTTATTTTCTCTTTAGAAAATATCACTTTCAAGTATGATTTTTCCGACATAGACTTTTTATGTTGTTATGCTGTAAGAGATTAAGAAATTAATATAAAAATATAGTAAGTAAAAGGTAAAATTATATTATTATGAGAAATTTGTTAAAGAGTTATTAAGAAAAATTAATTAGGTAAGTAGACAAAGTAACGATACATTAGTCACGTAAAATGTTCATTATTATTATTATTATTATTATTATTATTTTCAATTTATCCTACATAAATTATTTTTTTATTTTCTGAAATATGATTATATATTTTATATTTTATATTTAATAATTTTTAAAATATTAATTAAATTATTTACTTATTTTTAATTATTTTAATTAATAATCTTTTTAATTACTTACTAATTTATTATATCTAAATTTTTTGTGTCCGCATTGGCGTAGACAGACTACAGCTTTGGCCTTTGTAGATATTTGTATAAGAAAAATTCTAACTGTAGTTCTTTGTTGCCGTAGGATTTATTTCATTGTTGTCAAATTTGTTTATTTTATATAAAAATAAAGAATAAAATTATACATAATACTCTCTCGGTCCCATATATTCTGGGTCTATTCTCGTAGATACAGGAATTTAGGTAAAATATAATGAGTAGGTAATTAAAAAGTTTATTAATAGAAATAATAATTATTTACTAAAAATAATTATAGATTAAAATTAAGAGAATAAATAGTTTAATTAAAATTAAAAAAAATTATAAAATTTAAATGTAATTAAAGTGGATAATCATATTTCTAAAAAAAAATGACAAGTTATATGAGACGTGACAAAAATTAAAAATAAGACTAATTATGTGAGACAGTGACAGTATTTTTTTAATGAATAATATACATTGAAAATAAAAAATAATAATAATAATAATTGTAAGCCTTGGGCTTGAATGGCCGAGGCCCACTCTCAAGTGATTGGGCAATCCGGCCCATAAAGCCTACCTGGCGATTTCCTCTCGTATGTTGGCAGCCGTTGGATCAAACGATATGATCCTGGCCCTTCATTAGGATTAAAAAGTTTGTTACCGTTATCTGCCATTCCTTAGATTTAACGTACTCCCCTCGTTCTGGATATTTTGTCTGTTTTACTGTAGACACGAGAATTTATGAGATTTATAATTAGTAAATAATTAAAAATATATTAGTAAAAATAATTATTATATAATAAAAGTAATTATAAATTAAGGTTAAGATAACTTATTAGTATAATTAAAATTGAAAAAATTATAAATTAAATTTTTTAAAGTAGGATTAAAGTGTATAATTCTTTTCAAATAAAGAAAAAAGTGGGACGAACAGAAATGGAAAGGTGGACATGAAAAATGAGACGGAAAAAGAGAGTAATATTTTGTCAATATATATATATATTTTTCTTATTAAATGTGAATAGAAGTGATTATTGAGAATAATGACAAATTAAAGCAAACACAAACTAAAATTTAAATATAAATATTTAATATGTTGTTTTCAAAGAAAATATTGTGACGGATTTAGCTAGAACTAAGTAAAAAAATATTTATATAACACTTTGTTTACTTTAAGTTTGATTTTTCTATAAAAATATATATATATATTTTTTTCGTACGTCAAAATTAGTTACATTTATTTTATAAACATAAAAGAAAAATATTAATTTAACCTCATAAGATATTACATTTAAATTAAGACCCTCTTTATATATTTAATTTTTTTTGCCATTATTTATTTTGATTATATCATATTTTCTTTCATTTTCATGATATGTAAAATCAAAAACTAATTTTTATTATTTTTTATAATTTTTAAAATTTCAAAATTTAAAAAATTTCTATCTAGATTAAATACTTCTTCCCTCCATAAAATTATACAGGTATATTTGAACTCCGTAGGGCATGCAAAAAATAAAAAGTTAGTTAAAATAAAAGTAATAAAATTATAAATAAATTATATATAAATAATAAATTTAGTTAATAATAAAAAATACTTTCACCGTCCCACATAATTTGTCCATATTTTCTATTTTCGTCCGTCTCACATAATTTGGCCTTTCTTTTTTTGGAAAATTAATTATACACTTTAATCATATTTTAAAATTTAAAATTTAATTTTTTTTAATCTTAATTAAACTATTTAGTTATCTTAATCTTAATTTATAATTATTTTTACTATATAATAATTATTTTTAATAAAACATTTCTTAATTGCTTACTAATTATACTTTAACTAAAGAATTAATGTAATACTCCCTCCGTCCCAGAAATAAGTATCCATTTGCTTTTGCATGTAGTTTTAGAAATATTAGTATTATATTGGGATATAGTAGGAATAAAGTAGAAGTGACCAAAATGACCTTATTAGTATGTTTAATATAAAGATAATGGCATTTGTGTAATATATTGTAAGTTGTAAGGGTATTTGTAATGTTAGGTAGATAATACAGTTACTAAAACAAGAAATAGATACTTTGTTATGAGACGGACTAAAATGAAAAAATAGATACTTTGTTACGAGACGGAGGGAGTATAAAATAGAACCAAAGCCCAAATAAAGAAACCCAAACATTATGACTTTGTTTAGACACAGATTTTTTAGGTTTTTTGAAATTTTAGAAATTTTTTTTTTAAAAAAATTAATATTTGATTTGATGTTTTGTAAAAAAAAAGTGTATTTAATATAATATTTTTTAAAAAAATAAATAATATCAAATGAGCAAAAATATATTTACAATTCATTGATATCCAACATTTAAAAAAATAAAATAAAATAAAATAAAAAAATCAGGCATATATTAAAATGCAGTCACTAGTACAGTACACGCATTAATTAATTTGCAGTCTCAATCTCATCCAAACCTTCACAAATTTAATTCCACAACAAATCTAATAAATATTCCATATTTATTTCTCCCTTCCATTCTTTCCCAGAAGAAAAAAAAAAAACCCAAAAATAGTAAGCCCCACACACACCAAAAAAAAAAAAAAAAACAATAATAATAATAATAATAATAATAAGAAGACAATAAATCATAACCTAAAACCTAATTAAAATTAATTAAAATGAATGAACAAACTCAAAGCTTAACCACCTCCGGCACCCTCACCGGATACCTACCAATGCAATCCGCCCACGCGCCGTCGTCCGACGGCGCCACCGTCCTGTTACACTTCCAGACGGCGCTGTTACACTTAAACCCGCTCCCGAACGCTATCTGCCACACCCTATCCCCCTTCCTCATCCTCCCCTTCGACTCTATGTAGCTCAGCTCATACCACAGCGAAGACGACGACGTATTGCCGAACCTGTGCAACGCCATTCGCGACGCCTCCACGTCATCCTCCGTCAGCCGGAGATTCTTCTTCAGCTCGTCGATCACCGCCCGGCCGCCGGCGTGGATGCAGAAATGCTCAAACGCCTTTTTGAAATTGGGGATGTAGGGTTTCGATTTAGGGTTTTTGAATTTCCTCAAAATTAAAAACCAAACAAACAGCAACTGCTCCGTCGCCGGCAGCACCACCGGCCCCACGGCGGCGATGTTCGATTTCAGCGCCTCGCCGGCGATGCTCATCAAATCGATGTTCAATTTTATTCCGACGTGCCCGTCGGAATCCTCCTCCTGAGAAACGCATCTGTACGATTTGTCGTCGGCGCCTCTGTGTGTTCTGACGATGTGCTGTAATTTGTACTTGGCGCGGCGGCGGTCGCCGCCGCGGTTGGAGAGGAGGACGGCGGCGCCGCCCATGCGGAAGAGGCAGTTGGGGAGGAGCATTGCCCGTTCTTTACCCATATATAAATTTGGGGTAAGAATTTCTGTGCTTATTACGACGGCGTATGAATTTGGGTACTGTTGGAGAAGATCTCCGGCCAAATCGACGGCGATTAGGCTGGCGGAGCAGCCCATCCCCGACAGGTTGAAGCTTTTAACGTTGGACCTCATTTTGTACTTATTGACGACCATGGCGGACAGCGACGGCGTCGGGGAGAAGAGGCTGCAATTCACGGCCAAAATGTCGATATCCTTTGCCCTAACATTAGTTTTCTCGAAGAGCGCGTCCATACACGAGAAGATTACGAGTTCAGCTTCTTCCCTGGCGGCGGCCATGTCCGGCGCCGGCGGGATGTAATGAATCGCCGGCGGGAGGCACGTTTCTTCTCCGAGGCCGGATCTTTCTAGAATCTTCATCTGGAAGTGCACGCTTTTAGGCTCGTTGAAAAGCACGATTTTCGCGTGCTCCATGAATCCGGCGAAGGAGACTCGGAAGCTCCGAGGAGGTTTGAACAGGGCGTAGTCGACGAGGTAGACAGTCCGGCGGCGGCGGGAGATTATGAGAAGCGTCGAGAGGTAGACGAGGAAGAAGATGCAGCACGTGGCTTGCACGTGCGTGAGTTGGATGAGGTAGTTGTTCCAGAGATTGTAGAGGAATATTCCGTCGTCGGGGTGGAATATTCCTCGTATTGTGACGGCGAGAATTATCGGCACCGGCGAGAATCTTAACAGATTGTTGACGAGATAGGGAAACCCTAATTTAGCCATTGTTGGAAGGGGTAAATTAATCAAATAATTATTTTTAAAAAAAATTGAATTGGGTTTATAATTAATTAGGGTTGAAATTGTGAGAAATTTGGGGGGAGATTTATAGGATGAGAGAGGGGTGGCAGCTAAGGTATGGTTAATGCAAGAATATGGGAACAGTTGGTAAGAATGTGTGTACGTGTCTGTTAGGTTCCAGTGGATGTCAACGGGACGGCTTCGGAAGTCCCGGGACCGCTCTGTTAAAAAATATTCTCCCTATTTTATATAATTTGTCATTATCTTTTATTTTTATTTCTTCTATATAATTTGTTTTTTTTATTAAATATAATTAGTTATTTTAATCGTCTTTTAAATTTTAATTAAATTATTGAATTATCTTCATTTCAATTTATAATTATTTTTAGGATGTGTTTCTTCATGAGGTTTTGGAGAAATTTAGATTTGAGTTTGGTTATTATTTGAATTTTGAGATAAGTTTGAATTTTTATGTTTCTTTTGAATTTAAATTTGATTGGAGTTTGAGAAGTTTTTATGTTTATTGATTTAATGAATATAAATATAATAATATAAATGTATAATATTTTGTATAATTTAATTATAAATTTATATTATATTCTTAAAAAAAAAAGACAGACTCACAGACATAGTCTTATAATACACCAATACTATATGCGACTGAGGGAGTATTAAGCTTTAGGGTCCGTCATACCTCCCTCCGTTTCAGCCCGGTCCTAGGACTCGCCCCGACCCGGAAAATCCGGATTCAGCGCCAATTTGTTTTTTTTTATTATATTTATATTAATAATTTAATATTTTAAAAAAAATAAGTACTCCCTTCATCCCACGAAATTAGTTTACTTTCTTATTATAATAATAATAATTAATAACTAATACTTCTAATTAAAAAAACTTAACTATAGTTTATTAACTTACTAATATCTTTAATTTTATTATTTGTTAATTGTAAATGTAGGAGTTGGACTAAAATTTTGAATAATAAAAATAATAAATATTTAATATTATACAAATAAATATTCATTTAATTTTAAAATTAAATTTTAATTTAATATATGATAAAAATTTGATGTTTGATTTGAAATATATTAATGTAATATATTAAATTTTGTATGTCATAACGAACTATCTCTAATAACAATCAAATTCGAAAAATTTTATGTAATGTTTATATAATTTTTTTGATTACATTTTTTATTGTATAAATTACATTTAAGTTATTAAAATTATATATATATATTTTTATCTAAATGCATGTATTGATTTACAATAAATACAATTATTATTATTATTATTATTTTTAAATAATATCAGTAAATAAAAAATTCAATATTTAAAAATTTAATAAAAAATATTTTAACTTTTAATTTAACATTTTTTCAAATAAAAAATATTTAATATAACATTTTATTACAACCATTATTCAAACTAATTAACTACCTAACACAATATTTCTTAAATTGCGTGCCCAAAAGAAACTGAACTAATTTTATGGGACGGGAGGAGTATTAAAGTACAAAAAAAAATAGTTTAAAAAATAAAAATAATCAAATATTGACGGTGGTCCGCAATTATGACAGTCGGCGATTGGCAAGGCAAAATTTTAGTTCCAAAAATAAAAATAATCAAATATTGGCGGTGCTCCAAAGTGATGGTGGTCGACTGGCAGGCGATGTGACGATAATAGTCTCGATTGTAAAGAGAATTGAAAAAAAAAGAAAAAGCGATGACAAATTAGATTTATGAATTAATATTTTTCTTTTTTTTTATATTGAAAATTTTAAAATAAATATGTAATACAATTTATATTATATAAATATATATTAATTTTAATAATTATTAAAATATTAGGATTCAGGTTCGGGGTCCAAGGTTGGACGAGTTTTTAGTAAAATTCACCCGCTCCGAACCCTACCGAATTTAAAATTTAAAATTCACAATCCGCCTCGAAAATTATTTTTAACCCCGAATCTGCTCCATAAGACGGATCTGGGCTAACTCGCCCCACTTTTTTTATTTTTTGCTAACCCGCCCCACTTTGACATCTCTAAGCTGAGGTTTATCTCGTATATAGTTAAAGAATAAAGGCTAAAAATTTTTATGTTACTAAAAATATATATATAAATAGATGATATATTTTTGTTTGTGAAAGTTTTATTTTTAATTTATTTATAATTGATGATATTTTTTGTGTGATTTTTTTTTTTTAAAAAAATTATTTATAACGTTTAATGAGGTCAAATTTACTAAATGGCCGCGATTAGGGTAATGACGAAGTCAAGTTAACAATGTACTAATTTGATTAAATTAGCATATTAACGTATATCTAGTAGCAATTTGCACAAAATAGTAGCACATTAATCTGAAGTAATTAACATTCATTACAATAGAGATAATATATGTTGTGTTTCTATATATATTATATTAATACTTTCTATTTTTTCTATAAATATTTATTAATTGAGTCAAATTATAATGTGCTAAAGTCAAAATATTTTGCGAAAACAAAAATATATTTTGCTAACTATATTACCTCTTTTGTCATCAAAACTTATGTCTTTTTGACCGGATACAAATTTTTTTTAAAAATGAGTAAAAATAGATTTTATTATTAATTTTTTATAGTAGAGAAAAAGTAAAAAGTGATATTTTTATTTTTTTTTAAAAAAAAAGAAATATTTTTTAATAACAAAAAAAAAACATAAATTTAGATAACAAAGAATATATTAATATTTTGTTACTTTCTTTTCATATATATTTATTAATTGAATCAAATTAATCAGCACAATAATATATATATATATATATTTAGTTATTGAGGGGTACAAAAATAGGACACTCATAAATTGCGAACTTAATTATAATACTCCCTTACTATGTCCACATTGCCGTTTCTGTCCATCTCACATCCTATTTTACTTTTCTTTTTTGGAAGATAATTGTACAATTTAATTTCAATTTAAATTTTTTAATTTAATTTTTTTAAATTTTAATTAAACTAATTAGTTATTTTAACTTTAATATATAATTATTTTCACTAATATATTTTTAATTATCTATTAATTATACTTATCTTAAATTTTTGTGTCTACGGTGACCCAAACATCCAATGTGGGAACGAGGGATTACTATAACTTAAAGTGAATCCAACACGTAACACAACATATTGGTGTATGTACGAACAATTAGTTGATTATGGTAGATCAAAGTGGTAATAAATAAATAAGCAAATTATTTTAATAATAGAAATAATTAAATTATTAATCTTACAATAATTAAAAGTAATGAATTAAATCGGGTTAATTAGGATGTACGAGTGATTGACATTTGTAGAGTTTGTAATAAATCAGCGTAGTGTAGGTGGTGAATAAAGGCCACACATTATTACTTTTAATTACCAAAAGTACTTCCCTTCTTTATTATTCCATCCCAATATATAACTATGTCGAGGCCATTATTTATCTATTCGTTTATTTCATTACATAAATTAAGACATTATCACTATTTTTTTTTTTTATGTAAAATGAGTTTTATATAAAAATACTCCATTTCGTCCGGTAAGTAAATACCCATTTGTTTTTTGCACGTAATTTTAGAAATATTAGTATTAGATTGAGATATAGTAAGAATAAAGTAAAAATGACTAAAATAACCTTATTAGTACGTGTGATATAAAGGTAATGACATTTGCGAAATATATTGTAAGTTGTAAGGGCATTTGTAATGTTAGATAGATAGTACAGTTACTAAAAAATAAAATGAATATTTTGTCATGAGACAGACTAAAATGGAAAAATGGATACTTTGTTATGGGACTGATGGGAGTATATTCCTTCCGTCCGCCTTTAAAAGTCACGTTAACCTTTTGCGTCCTTGTACTTAACATTAAAAATATCATTATATTTGTATAATTTTTTTGTACAAATGTCATTTTATTAGTATTATAAGACACTAATCGAAATATTTTTGCAATTTTTTCTTAATTTTTGTATTGCGTTTTGATATAATAATTAATATTAAAAAATCAATATACAAAAAGTAAATGAGACCATTTTTCGTACTACTTCAAAGTATTATTTTAAAAATTTTGTAGTAGATTAAAAACTAGAATAAAATTCTACAAAATTCACTAGTAGTTTCATGAAATTGCGCAAAATTTTCAATATTTTTGAAATCGAGTCAGACTCCCTTATGTTTTCATATATTGTGCATATAATGCCCTCATCTATCCTTATTTAAAGATGTTTGACTTACACACGTTTAAACTGCGAATGAGTTTCAGAATCTCTATATCTAAATCTTTAAAATTACAAATATATTAAGGATAAATTGTTTTTTTTAGTTCCGTAACTGGACCCCTTTATCATTTTAGTCCTGTAAGTGGAGCATGTCGCAAACTAGTCCCATAAGTGAAAAAATTTCGTTGTTTTAGTCCTCCGGCGCTGGAGACGCCCGCGTGACTCGCCGGAAGTGACGTGTCCGCCAGGTGTCCCACCAGGTCAGCGACACCTGGCGGACACGTGGATTTATTTATTTATTTCATTTATTTTTAATTTTTTTAATTGGACCAAATAAAAAAATAAAAAAAATACAAATAAAATTAAAAATAAATTAAAAATAAATTTTAAAAAAAATTAAAAAAATAAAATAAAAAATAAAAAAATCCACGTGTCTGCCAGGTCAGCGGCACCTGATGAACACGTCACCTCCGGCGAGCCACGCGGGCATCTCCGGCGCCGGAGGACTAAAACAGCAAAAAAATTTCACTTATGGGATTAGTTGCGACATGCTCCGTTTACGAGATTAAAATGATAAGGGGGTCCAGTTACGAGACTAAAAGAACAATTTACCCATATATTAATTATTCTTATATTTAACTTCAAAGAATAGTTAAAAAATTTTTAGAGCTAGAGAGAAAAATACTATTTTCGAGTAGATTTACTCTTCCTCGAGGTTAAATATAAGAAGAATAAATATATTTCCAATTTTAAAGGTTATAAATAGATATTTTAAAATTCATTCGCAGTTTGAGCATATAATGATCAGACATCGTTAAATAAGGATGTCTGGGATTAGACGCAGAGTTTATCAAATCATAAGAAAGTTTGAC